GGGGGGAATCTGGAATATCTACAAGAAAGCATACCCGTTAGAATACGAATGCACACACGAGAGCAGGAACATATTTGTGTTCGTGTTACATTCGGCGTTGAATTGGCCTACATTTTGCAAGTAGGAACCACAGAGTCTAGCTCAGTTTAGAAACGACGTATGTACCGTAAGTTTCCCCACAAACATGCGTGTTTTTATAGGTGACCCACATATTGTAGTTCCTAATTGTGAAATGCGGTTCAATTCGGCACAGAAAATAATGGAGACTCCGGAAATGTCACGATCCTACATAGGGTTGGGTTACCTTGTGTTTCTCTTCACATATTAATCGGAATTTTCTGTTATTTTTTGCGCTCAGTGCAGGTACAGTAACACGCTAAGTATTGCTGAAGCAGATAGTGTCTAAAAACTTATTCATCGTATGCGAAATTCAGCAGAGTCTCAATTGGACTGCATTTTGCAATTTGGAACTATAAATTCTGGCCCGGTTAAAAAACAACGTAAGTGCCGTTAGTTTCCCTATGCACATAAGTGTTTTTTCAGATGAGCCAGAATTTACAGTTCCAAATTGCAAAATGCAGTCCAATTATTCGCGGTATTTGGAATTAGAGCTAACACGGATAATTTATCGCAAATCGGGGATATGCCAAAACTGAGCCATTTTGCCGGGTGAAGTGATTGAAAAGGCTTCAGACTCCAAAGATCTAAAAGACTCAAAAGACCTCATTAAAAAACTTGTCAACAATCAGACAGAGAATTACATAATTGTTAAAATTCGTCAAATATTAGACAGAAATGTAATTGTAAGTTGTGAAGGTGTTTTCCTTAGAGTTGAATAGTGAGTGACATTTTTTTTTTTTTTTTTTTTTTTTTNTTTTTTTTTTTTTTTTTTTCAAAAATAAAAAAACCGCGGATACTCCGCATATCAAATAATTAAAGCGCAGATATTCGAAATTCAATTTCATTTTAAAGTTCAAGATCTCCAATAATTCCAAAAATGCACTTTTGAGCTTACCTTGAAAACCATTTTGATAGATTGGATTAGATGAACTTTGTTTTGAAGCACAGAGGTAACTGATGACAGAATAGAGTGAGACGGCGAATTTTATACCGAAAACTCCTAGAAGTGAAAGACAAGCTGAAGTCAAGCGGTGAGGACGTGTGGTGTGGGCCAAATTTGAGCAATCGGCATGTGAAAAGTAATGAGCGTGAAGGGGAGATGAGTCGGATTCATTCCGCGTGTCGTTTGCATCCTGTGGGCCACCGTGCGCGATGCTTGCAGCATCATTGCTATTAGTAATTATTTCGGTGCTTCTGTGTTCGATGCAACTTTTGGCTGGACCCGCTTTCCGCGGAATATTTGGCGAATTCGCGATCGGAATACATAAATGAACGTATTTCTGTCAAACGGAACCAGAAACAGGTGGAAAAGAAGCACTGGAAAAAAAATACATTGGATCTAGCGTCCTGACTCTTGAAAACATTCACAAGAAAAAACACTCTTGATTCAATCGGATTTTTGCTTGAATCAAAAGGAAATCCGCTTAAATCAAGAGGCTTGGTTCTTGATTTAAGCTTAGAGATTCTGATTGAATCAAGAGTACTTTTTCTTGTCGATGTTTTTAAGAGTCTGGGCTCTAGATCCAATGTGTTTTTTTTTTCCAGTAAGGGGTATGCTCGTTAGTCGAGGGCCGTAAGAATGAATGGGAACTACAAAGCGCCAGTGACGTCAGCGGGAACGACGGAGACGACGATCCGATTCATCCGAATCTTTAACTCATGAGCCTTGTCCACCACACTCTTGTCACATGCCCATGGCTCATGAGTGCCGCATCCAGTTGACACATAGTTCCGTTTGACAGAATGTAAAATCCCGCTTTTCCATCTCTCCAAAGGGAATCACGCCCACTTTTACATTGTTTCTTATGCAGCTTTCTAGAGCACACCCCCATCTCCCCCCCTTCTACAGTTTTGTTTGGCAGGAATACGTCCAAATCAAGTTTAACAAAAACGCACTAAGTTGTACTTTGGGGGGGAAAAAAACGAAGAATAGATTTGAATTCAACTAGTCATAAATTTTCTTCTGTCAAAAATTCAAAGTCGGAAAAAATATTGTGATTATAGCGGTTATATTTTGTCCTTAACATTGAGTCCCACGGAAGTATCCAACTTCAGAATTTGTTTTTATAGTTTGAAACTTCATACGACTTAATGAGCTTTTGTTAATCTTGGTACACTTCTCCTGGACTGAGCTTTTTTCCCTACAGAACTGAATCTATCCCATCGGAAAGGCAAAAAATCAGCAAAATACTACATATGCAGGAGCAACGATTTTTAGAAGAGTATCATCAAAATTTAATAGCAAACTAAGTGCACTCCTGTGAGGACATACGAAGCCAAAACGCCCTAATTTCCATCAATATGAAATACGGACATCCATAGTCGCCTATCAAAGCGTTTTTTGGAGGTATCGTCTGCTATAACCTTATCCTAACCTGGCGTTAAAGTGTCCGATCATCCGAAAATCTGCCGTACAACGCCTTCACTTTCATCTGTACGCACGTGAGCATCCACTGAGTACGAATAGACGTATCCAGGCCTTATTTGGTCACGTACCGCCCGCTGACTTTTTCTTAACCTGGCGTTAAAGTCTCCAATCTGGCACCTAAACGCCTTCACTTCTATCAATATGCAATGCAAATGTTCATTAAGCACGAATAGTTGTATCCATCCTTTATTTGGGTGTGCACCGTTCGCTGACTTTTTCCTAACCTGGGGTTAAAGTCACCTTTCATTCTAACACAAGCATACAAAGTCAAAACGCCTTCATTGGAGTCGATTTCAAACATTTGAAATTGTTTTTACAAAACTGAAACTAGCTCAGTTTTCTGCATGTGAATAAAATAAAATGGACGTATTTCTGTCAAACGAAACTAAGCGCCATAGGGAGAGGAAGGTAGTGGGGGGCTTGAATTGGCGGCGGTTCCTGGCGTCGGGCTCGTTCCGTCCTACACTCGCAATGCTTTTCCATGCCGCTTAGTTCCGTTTGACAGAACGCGCTATCCGGCATTCTAAATTCCTCAAAAGGAACTCAAATTGGCGCTTAGCTCCGTTTGACAGAAATACGTCCAAATAAAATATGACTTAAGCTGATTCAGGTTAAATGCACCCAATTCTCAGGCACACCGATGCTAATACACGCATTCATGGCTAATTTGGGGAATGATTTTGGTTTGTCGCTGTAATACATCCCAGATGTGGACTTTTTAATTATTTAAGACACTGTCAACTTAAGGAGAAGCATATACCAAGGTAATCAAACCAAAAAGAAGAAAATAGCTGGTAGTGTGCATACGAAAGAATATTGGACACCTCAAGATTTTTCATATCATGCCGTTTACAAGGTAGAAGTGGACATATTTAGGAGAAAGTGGAAAATCTTAGTTTGATTAATGGTTTCTTTATTAAATTTCAATGTTGATGTACAATTTAAGTGTGTGAAGTATAACTTTATTTTCCAAACTCAACTCTTTTGTACACCATTCAGTGTTTTTTTCACTGACGTTTCAATTTTTAATCGTTGTTCTTCATCAGAAAAAACTTTGCGCATGCAATGATCAGTGTGTTCGTTTTTCATTTTTTTCGTTTTTCTTCGATGCCAAATTGTATTTTTATCTGTACTCGAAAGGTAATAAACGAATTCTTCAAGCCATAGTCCCTCTCAAATAACTCAATATTTTAAGAAATGCAGAGATTTCATTGAATTCCATGTTTATCACATAAACCTGACGATAAGTATCGATCGCTGGTTTTTTTTTTTGTTTTAATTTAAATCTCATAATTAGTTTTATATAAAATTACTTGGCAAGAATCCTGCGGGTTACTGTTACACCAAGACAAGGTATCCTTTCATACATATTTTGAATTTGATATTTGTAGGTATATATTTTGCACAAATTCTCGGTGTGATATTTTCCTTAAGTTCTGATATCAGTATGTACATCAACTATTCGTGAGAAGTTTACTGATACTTTACTAATGATATAAATTAAGCAAGTATCTGAACCTAGAATATTCTGAATTTCTAAGCAAAGTATGATTTTCTTTAAAAAATTTCATTCATTTATTGATTTTTTAATCCCAATTGTTCTGGAGTATTAGGAGATCGATGTAATATCTCAAAACCTAACATGCTGTTTTTTCTCTGTCGAGTAATTTTTTTAAATCTGAGTGAAGAAACGTCAGTTGACTTTGCTGCTGATCAAATTGAAACATGATAAAATTTTTGCACTTCAAATATTTGTCTCGATACTAAATTGACACTCTTCGAACGTAGGTATTTGTTCATTAAAACTTTACTGAGCATTTATTCGTATCATCCAAAAAGAGTTTTTTCCATGTATTTTCAAGTAGTTTATGCGCAATATTTCAAAAAGAAATCTATTCCTATGACGTTCAAGGAGAAACGAAAATCAAAGTTAACACGATATTGCAGATCTTTCGAAAATTTTATTCAATATTTACAACAGAATTAATATAATTCCAAAAATTTCGGAGCCTCCTCCTTACATCGAAAATCGTTGCAAGAGCGACGGGTACAACTTTTTGAAAGACGAAAGCAGGAGGAGGAGGACAAGGATAGAGACGTTGGTCGACCTCTTGTCGGTGAGTAAGCGTATGAGCCATAATTCGTTTTTGACTAGTAACATGATGACGTCACTGGCGACTAGTGACGCACTGCGGGGGCAGAAATCAGTCTTCAGACCCTAGAGCTGAGTAAATGCAGAAGTTTAGTATTTGGCGGGTTGTTGATGTCCGTAACCACCATGTCCGTAGTTCTGGGGATGCGAGATCTTGGATGTCTGAACGTGGGCGACGAATCCGTGGCCTTCGTCAGAGTAGTGGACGGTGCGCTCTCCGCCGTAGGGCTCCTGGAGCTTGTAGACTCCCTTGACGTAGTGACCGTCTCCGCTCTCTTCCTGGCTGTGAACATCGTGGGTGTGGGGGTCGTGGACGGAGTATTTGAACTCGTATTTGATTGGCTGCGAAGGGTAGGAGGGCTCCTGGTGGTAGCCGTGACCTCCGTAGGATTGCTGTTGGTGGCCGTATTGGGGAGCACAGCTCACGGCGGCGATGAGGGCCAAAGATACTGCTACGATCTGTTTACAAAGAAATTGTCAGTTTTAGGACAGAATAAGTAGAAGTAGAAGAAGAAGAAGAAGAAGAAGAAGAAGAAGAAGAAGAAGAAGACAGAAGAAGTTTAAGATAACAGGACAACAAAATTGGGGATGGTTGCCGATTGAACCATCGGTTTGATCAGAGACAGGATATTTTATACATCGCGAATTGGACTAAATTCTGCAATTGGGAGCTACAATTTCCCGCTCATCTGTAAAAACACGTATTTGCATAGGGAAACTAATGGCACATACGTCGTTTCTAAACTGAGCCAGGAATTATAGTTACATCGCAAAATGTGGTCCAATTATCAATCTGAGCAATATCATCGGGTGAGGCCAAACTTAAGTTCGGAGGCCAACGTTACTTTTCACCCAATGATGATTGATAAGCAACTTCTTGAGTGACAAATTCGCTAAATGATGACAGATGAATTTCGGGGCGAGCACCATGCTAAGCGAGTTTATCCTAAATATAAACTGAAATTCTTGACCAATTGCTCAACTCTTTGTTCACCAGTCATCGTAAAGCGAATTTGAGCCTTGGTGCGTCAGAAAGTAACTTTACAATGATTGGGAAGATAGGAGTGCGAGGTCTGTGAAAAATGTCGTCTCTGGAATAGATTGTCACACATTTTTCTTACAATTCAAACGGAAAAGTTTGTAAAATCGATTTCTTACTTACTATGGCTCTTTCTTTTTCTTCTTTTTAATTAGATATTTCTAAATGGCGAACAAGAGATTTTACGAATATAAAAATTATAATGATAAGGTTAAAATCTACAAACGTGTTTAAAATGTAGGACTAGCGGTTTTAGTTATTACAGATCGATGGTTAAATGTGAAAAATTTGTTTCTCAAATTGGAAATTCAAACTGCATAATCTACAATTATGTCTTATTTTCTTTGAAGGAAATGAATTCAAATGCAATCAAAATATACCAAATTTTATGTGATTTTTTTCGAATAAGTGAAGAAAATTAATGGAAAATTCCAATAGAAATTGTTGGTCGGTTTTCCTTCGGAAAAAGGACACGTACCTAAGCAAAACCTTGCAACGTCGCAATTTGAGGTATATTTTATCGAATTATTTAGCCATCGAGATGCTGAAAATAAGAAATCAGGAATCTCACCTTGTACATGATGGTGTTTGTGAGTTTCTGGGATGTTCTAGAGCAAAGGACAAGCGAAGACTGTGCTCTGTCGGAAAAGGACGGGCGCTTTTATAGCGAGCGAGCGATTTTCGGGGGTGTTTGGGCAATACTTGCGCCAGCTGCGCGAAAGTGAAGCGACGCGACGCGCGAAAAAAGTCCCCGCTGCACGGGCCGCGGTCCTTTACGAAAACAAGTGCATAAAAACTGGACGAAATTACGGCGACCAAACCGATTCGGGGGCAACAATTATTACGTGTCATCGACAGCCAAACTTGCGCCGGTTTTGAAACTGAGACAAGTGGAACGCTCGCAGCGCTGTCACATTGAAATTCCTGCAAAGGCCCCTTTTAATTTAATTGGTTTAATTTCACTGATCGGCGAATCATACTTAGAAAAATCTATCGATCGAATTACCTTCCACTCATCAATGGGGGAGGGTATGGATTTGATCGACATGAATCGATTGAAAACTAGGAACGTGAATCGATCGACGTGAACTGATCGACACCGATTCGATCGAAAAATCTTTAAAAAAGCAGTGTCGTTTCGATCGCCAAATTTTTTAAAGGAACAGTGTCGATTCGATCGACATGAATCGATCCAAAAATGGAAACGTAAACCGATCGACGTTATTCAGTTTACAACCGTGGATCAATCAAACTCGCAAATCGATCGACAATTCCGTGAATCGATCGACAAACCCGGAAGTCGATCGACAACCCCGTGAATCGATCGACAAACCCGGAAGTCGATCGACAACCCCGTGAATCGATCGACAATTCCATGAATCGATGGTTAACACCGTGAAGCGATCGGCAAAAACCGTGTTTTTCATTATTTTTTGATCGAATGGGCGTCGATTGGTCCAAGTCGATCGATTCACGTTTCATGATAATCGATCGATACCTTCCATCAATGGATAAATTATAGTTTTAAGGGGTTAGTTTTAGTGTTTGTAAAGACGCGAATAATTATTTCTTTTCATACGCTCATTATAATACCAAACTATACTAGTTGCAGAAAGCAAATGTCAATGCTTAATGAAAAAAATTCGTGTATCTGTTGGAACTTTTGAGAATTTTCGATTATTTTGTACCTATTTCCTCAGAGGAAAACTAGTCACAATGCAAACTGTTCTTGCAATTCTGTGTGATTTTTGTTAGAATGAGTGAGACAAATACACCAAACATTTCAATAGATCTGGTGGTTGGTTTTCATCAGAAAATACTCAGAACGTCGTCATCTGAGGCACGCATTTTTCAACTTTGGCAAGTGATATGTTGCCCCTCAAAAGTTAGAAATGTATTTGTTTCGAGGAACATCTTTTTAAGGTTCAAGGAAGGTTCCGAGAGGCACTTTTAAATTTCCTCCCCCTTTTTTCTCCCTCAAAAGTCGTTCTACATTCTTAATTGGCCGAATTCTCAACGTCATCACGTATGGGTCATATTTACAAAATCTGAGTAGAGAGGGCTCGTTGATTGACCATTTCGATCTATCGATTGACCTGTTGATCGCCGCAAAATTATGGAAATCAGCCCAGTAGAACGTTAGAACCAACCGTCACGATAAATTGAAATTTAGAGGGTTTTATAGTTTTGATACTTTCTACAAGTTAAATATTTAAGAACAGTAGAAGACATATACATGCAGCCCAAAACGGAAAAAGTAGGAAGAAAAGAAGAGAAAAGCGGAACAAGGCTGAGACACCGAAACGTTCCGCATAATTTTATGTATTTTAGCCTTGTTTCCTTTTTTTCTTTCTACTATTTAAGAACATATAGTTGCAACGTTGACCCGGGTCCATGCTGTTGGGTCGGAAAGTCTTCACATTTCATATCGTCGCTCCTCAGGCGTATAAGGGAGAATCTTAATTTCCGCATGAGTTACAGAAATCACGGATTTTTATGTAAAGCAGGGCTCACGAGGAAATTGAGGTACGCATTTGCGTTAGAGGAGTGACGATATGCACTGTATATAATCGCTGAACACTACAGCCACCCTTGAGTTAAAGTAAACTCCTGAATTTTGGCACCGCTGTTACTGCTGCGCCAGTGCATAAGCTGTGTAGCTTTGAGGCCTTTTTTTGTCGTCTTCCGTTACTTTTGTCACCTGATTTCGTTCGACGGTCACCTACAAAACCCGGTCAGACAGCCGGTGGCGTGGCGTGCTTTGCGATTCATCGATTGATCTGCCATTTAAACCTATGGAAAAGTATCGATAGAAAAGTGTTCGCAACGAACACCATAATAATCGATTCTCTACTATAGCTTCAAATGGGGAAAAGTCGATAGTCGATAATCAATCATTCACGCCTCACCGTCGGACAGAACGTGACCGACACCATTGCTCCCTCCACAATCCCTCGTTTTGGGGACTTTACATGCTTCCAATCGTTTGCACTAATCTAACTTCCATGAAGCGACCGCGTCCCTTTGCCCTAGGAAATTAACCTGAACCATAACCTTTCACTGCATATTTTAAAGTCCGCATCGGTGCCAGATTTGTAACTATTGGCTACACTGTCGTGCGAAGGAAAAACGCCGCATCAGCCTTCAGGCGTTGCCATACTTCCTTTAATAACAAACGAAATTACCAGGATAATTCTGGATATTTTTCTTTAAATTTTTCAGACAGTTTTGTTCTCAATTTAATCTAAAATATTTGAAAATTTCAAGGAAAAATATAATTGTCTCTCCTCGAAAGTACATGTTTTAGCCGGGGAAATTTGGCAATTCCGGAATACTCATACGGTGTTCTTCCTTAGCAAGGCAGTACACTCAATGTAATTTAGATGAAGATATTCATGGAGTTCTTTTAAGATAGCTCTTGCGGCAGCAACCTGAAGTTTTTACAATTTCAGCGGTTTTTTTCGCCTAAACGTTATATAATTCATTTAAATATTGTGGCGCCAGTCTGAGCTTCCTGAATCGCTTAATTAATCCGTCTTTACATGACCCAAAGTTGAGGTATGTTTTTAATTCGGCGAAGTCAACTAAAATAAAAATAATTAAATTAAACGTTGCCCAATTTTCTCACTTGTTAATATTCTTGCCAAGAAAGTTAGAAAAATGTTGTTTTAAAACTTTGTAAACATATGTTACAAAGCCTAAGGGTAATATCCCATCATTTTCAAGGCGTTATGTTACGTTCTTTAGCTTTCCTGTAAAGTAATTTTACTGAATGGAACTAGGCAACGTGTAATGTAGAAGTGTAATTCTTGATAAATACTTTCAATATGGGTTAAAGTTGTCTCTGGGTTAAATTCAGTCGTTGGGATGCCGAGTCGGTCGTAGTTTTATACAAAAAACTTTGCACAATAGAAGCTCTTTTTGGGGGAGAGAGGGGGCTAAAATGCCTCCAACGTGCATGATTACAAAGAGGTAGCTTATTTCGTTTACTTCTTTTGCCGGAAAGTGTTTTTTCACCTCTATTATTTAAAAACTTATGACTGACTTATCGCGCGGAATCCATTTAAAGTCCGTGCAAGGAAAATGTTCGATACACGCATATCAATGTTTGGCTAAAAATCTCAATTTAAAATTTTACAAAATTTCTCAAATAACTTAAGAATGCGGAATATGAGTGGTGCTTTTGGGGCAGGAATCCCCTCTCCCCTCAATTTTATGTATTGACGAGACAGCACCGTAGTTCCTATATGTAACTGGGTATACTCAGTGCAAGATTTCAACATATAAATATCTCTCGATGCTGTCCCTTGGATCAAAGGCAGAGTTGTAAAACTTTCCGGCAAATAAGTTTTGAAAGCAAAGATTATCCATATTTTCTAGATCTGCTAAGAAATCTGCTTACCGTTAACATGCACTCATCTCTGTTGAGATATTGCACGTGCACGATATCTCCATTACTTTCCTGCTGAATTTTTATTCTGTTTATCTAGTTCCACCGATGGTCAATTCATCCAGAAAAACTTTTAAAGCAGGGAACTTGTTTGAAAAAACTGCTTTAAAATTTGCCATGAGGTCACATATTTTGTCGCTCAGACCGTCGAAGTTTCTGAGGTATTTGCTTCGGAAAGGCTTTCCCTCCCCTAATTTTTCCTTGCCTCCATTATTTGCGTAATTTTTGGACTCTACATGATTCTCAAAACGTATTTTGAAAGCTTACTGAACTGTGCTTCCCCTTCAATTCTACAAATACATAGAATTAAACTCACTCATTGATCAATAAAAATAAGAAAAAACCTTTATTTTCAAATTCTGGACCAAAACAAGTATCCAGACAGGAAATTATTTTACGTAAACCAATTCTTAGAGGTGGAAAAATATGAGTCGCCTCTACGTGTATAAGTATCAATATAAATTGAATATTATGAAATTGATTAAAATGAGTTTTTTTTTTTTTTTTTTTTTTTTTTTTTTTTTTTTTTTTTTTTTTTTTTTNGTAATACTGATGAGCAAAATTGTTGACAGTTTGTGTAAGGTTATTTCATTCTGTCATTTTAATGAATTGTTCTATGGGGTTTTTTTCTTGTTTTGTACGTATCATTACCAAAATACTGCACCAGTGCAGTGCAGCAAAGTTAATGTCAAAAATATGTTATCGAATAAGTACTCCTCTTGGTCTTCACTAATATAATGGAATTCAGACTTGTACCATTATATTAGCATATATTTTGTTAACCTATTCATATTTAAAAGAAGAACAACAAGGCAAATTGATTTTTGGTATGGTATGATTTATTCACGATGAGATGAATTAGATTCTTTGCAGTTTACACAAAAATATCAAGAGAATCAGTTTGAAAACATTTAGATGATCTTTCGATCGAGTGCAGTTGCTGTCACAAGTACTCACAAAATCAACAAAAAACAAACAAAAATGAGTAAATAAGACGATCCTAATTCAGTCTTTTATCACAAGAATCCTTTACAAGTTGCACGTTCGGTCAAAATTGGCAATAATGGAAGTGAAAATGAAGAATGACGATGATAATGAAAATGGTGATGATGAATATGATGTATACGAAGAATGAAAATGAAAATGAAAATGAAAGAAATGATGTGAGGTGAAGGATGATCTATGAAGAGGATGAGAATGATAAGAAAAGGTCGACCATTATATTAGTCTCGGCAAAGTTGTGGGAATGAATTTTAGCTCGTGCCTGCCGGCGATTTTCGAGTCAAACTCATGAGGAGGTATGGATTCGGGTGTGTGGGTGCGATGGGAAGGGGATTTGGAGGTTAGGTTCTTAATGTCCGTAACCACCATGTCCGTAGTTCTGGGGATGCGAGATCTTGGAGGTGTGGACGTGGGCGACGAATCCGTGTCCGTTGTCGGAGTACTCGACGACGCGCTCTCCTCCGTAGGGTTCGTTGAGCTTGTAGACTCCCTTGACGTAGTGACCGTCTCCGCTCTCTTCCTGGCTGTGGACATCGTGGGTGTGGGGGTCGTGGACGGAGTATTTGAACTCGTATTTGATTGGCTCCGAGGGGTAGTGGGGCTCGTGGTGGTAGGACTCTTGGTGGCCGTATTGGGGCATGCAGCTCACGGCGGCGACGAGGGCCAATAAAGCGGCGATCTGAAACAGAATAATGGGATTTCTCAGTCAATATTGAAATAGATCGTATCAAACAGGTGAGATTGTATCGATATCGATTGGTTCAACTCGTAAACATAGCCTCAAAAATCAATTTGGAAATCTGGAGGAACGGTTCTTTTGTGATGGATTTTTTATTCTTTTGAATACCAAATGCACTGAA